CTCAAGGACGCCTTGAGGGAATTTCCTCAGATTTGGTACAAATGTCTATTTGGACTTAAGAATGAACTGATAAGAATTTGATGGTTGAAGATCAAAGGTCAAGGTCACTGAGACCTCACAAATCATAGTTTTTCACCATAACTCACCTAACTTTATTAGGATAAAATGATGAAAGTATGACATTTTATGTCCAAAAGCTCAAAGGTCAACTTCACTGTGACATCATAATGTTTTCTGGCCATTATCAATGTCATATTTCAGGACATGTGACATATTAATGTTCTGCATAAAACACCTCTGGCTATTATTCAGCGTCATACCTCAGGAACAGAAGGGGAAGACATTTGGTCAGATACTGAATTGATGACACTGATCTTGGGTGTCCTTAAAACTTGTATAGATCCTCTGTGCTAATGGGGGGGAGATGTGTGTGAAGCGTCCATGTTTTCACAGACATGGATGTCAACTGTAACTGCAATTTGACTGGAGGCATACAACCACGAGGTGGTCATTCTAGTTTAATGCTCAAATATTGACCAGTTTGGTCTCAAAAATTCGGTATAGATGGTACCGTATTCTTCAATAGAAGAATTTATTCACTGTGATCTTATGCATTCTTTAACACAGTAACTCTTGTGCTGTTGATATTTCAGGTAGTCTGTGTGACAGCTGGAGCAGTAGCTGCTACCTGCTGCCTGTACTGGATACAGTACTAGTGAGGAGGAGCTGGAGGAGGAGAGGCTTTGGTCTTCAGATGCTGGAAGATTTCTGTTCCTCGTTCTACACAGAGAAGTTTCTGGGAGTCAGCTCACCATTGTCACCCAGCATGGCGGCAGGTCAGCTTAGGTTCTCCTTTATCCCCCACACAACCCATTTATTTGTTTATGTACATTCTAGTTCTCTCAGTTTCTTCCTTGACTTTTTTTTTCTTATCTAGAGGACACTTCCGTCATGTTTGGCAGAAGAATGCACATTTCCTGTCTTTTTTTTTTTGTACAGTATGTCTTGGCTGCGTTCAGGCCATATGGGAATAACTAACAATAACTGAAATGTTCACTCTAACATGGACTCAGTGATGATTTACTTATGTTTCACAGTACATCAAACACCTAAAAGTCATAACACAGTAAAAAAAAATGTTGTTTTGTCCTGCTGTGGCATTTTAATCTCAGCACAAACTATTCCAGCACAGTTGCCACAGAGATCCCAGATAGTAATGATTCTCTGACAGCTGAGATGAACAGAGGAGGAAAGTGTATGAATGAATTGAAGGTGCTAATTCTATTGCAACCCCTTGACAGGTTGTGTGTTTGTGTCTCCTGTGTGTTCAGTATGTAGGAGTTTCCTGCAGCAGCATAAGGAACATCTGGAGCATCTGTATGAGGTGGAGGCTCCAGGGGGCTGGGCTCAACGAAGAAACATCTGGCTCAACATCCAACTAGGCCGCTATTCCCTCGGTACAGATTATATTTTCAAGATTTCTGTGTGTGTTTAGATGTTTAAAAGAATTTCACATCTTAGATATCGTACTGCAAAACTAAGTTTCCAGTGAGATTCCAGTGTTTTTTAACTTGTCTAAATTTAATTGTACCCCTCACCTTTATGTGACCTCATTAGACTCGTGTTTTTCTAGGTATTAAGGAGGAGAGAAGGTCAACATCAGAAGAGACACAAATGAATGAAGATGACTCCTCTCAGAAGGTGAGAATCTCAATTTTTCTCTGCTCATGTTAAAAGAATCTCTCCAAAAGACTTTAATCATTACATCTCCGCACCAGCGACAGCCTTGGCTGGGGGCATTATGTTTTTGGGTTGCCCACCTGTATCCATCCATCCGTCCCATCCTTGTGAACACCATATCGCAATGATACCTCAGGGGAATGTCTTCAAATTTGGCATATATGTCCACTCGTACTCAGCAATGAACTTATTAGATGTTGGTGGTCAAAGGTCAAGGTCACTGTGACCTTGTCTTGTCTCGTTCTTGTGAACATTATATCTCAAGAATGCCGTGAGGGAATTTCCTCAAATTTGGCACTAACGTACACTTGGACTGAAGAATAAACTGATTAGAATTTTGTGGTCAAAGGTCAAGGTCAGTGTGACCAAGTATAGTGAAGTATTTTTTTGGCCAAAACTCAAGAATTCATATGCTAATTATGACAAAACTTCACACAAATGTCTAATTGTATGAAATAATGAAGTGATGACATTTCATATCCAAAAGGTCAAAGGTTAAATCCACTGTGACATCTTAATACATAATTCTGCATAAAACACCTCTGGCCATTATTATGGCCAGTATATCTCAGGAACAGAAGTGGAGATATTTGGTCAGATACTGAATTGGTGACACTAATCTTGGGTTTCCACCTTGAAACTGTGCTGATTGTATAGATCGTCTGTTCTGTCATGGGGTCAAAGGGTGTGAAGCATCCATATTTTCATAGACATGGATGTGAACTGTAAGAGAAACTTGACTGGTGCATGGAGGCACACAACCACGGGGTTGTTATTCTAGTTGAACCTGTCAGAGGTATTAAGCATTATCATTTTTGAGAATGTGTTTCAGTTACTGTGAAGGGGCTCTACTACTTCTGACCACTGTTACTCTTTGCTAATGCAGTTTTTCTATTATTTGCATAATGACACTACAAAGTACAGCCTCAAAAAATAAACCTTGAGTTGAATCACATCTCTGACGAATATTATGAGCTTAAACAAAGTGGAACCTATTTCCTATTGTATTGTATTGGCTTTTATATTGTATTCTTGCATTAATTTGTCCCCTCTGTTTTTTCCGATGCAGATTTACAATTGTAGACCAGACCTGACCCCACTGAGCAGCTGTAATGTGAACAGTCCGCTGGTAATAGGCTTTTCTGTACAACAAGTGAAACCTTCTGATCATAGCCAAGGAGGATACTCCCCAAGCAGCAAGATCTCTGGAACAGGATGTATTCCTGCAGCCCACATTAATGATCTGGACTCTGGACCTCCCACCAGACTAGCACAGTCCCTAAACACAAAACAAGCTCTTAAAGCCAAGCCAGAGTCAGAGGAAACATAAACAAGTGCCAAACGAGTCAGAAAGACATGAGGATTCACACACAGCCATTGTGTGCAACAGCAGGAAGTGTTCATACACGTTATGTGGATGCTCTATCTGTTGAACGAAGGTGACCTTTACACTGTATTTATGAAATGAAGTTTACAGACCATTTTAGACTGATACATGAATACACTGATAGTGCAGTACAATGCAAGTTCTATTGCAAAGCATGCAATAAACTATTGTAGTAGTGTGTGTGTTTTTCTGTGTTACCCACTAAATGGAAGTTGTTGTTTCCTTTTTGCTTTGGAGGAAAAGTGCACAAGATTTAGAGGGATTTAGTGGTGTCTAACAGTGAGGACTGCAGATTGAAACCAGCAGAAACTTCTACTGGTTAGAATTCCTTCAGTGCCCATCGCTCAGGAGGTTTTTACCGGGATTGGAATTATCCACAGAGGTCTTTTCCTCTCCAAAACAAACAGATCCTGACAGATCCAATAGAAAGACTGAATAAAGCAGTTTCACGTTTCAAACCATTCCTACCACGTTTGGCTGCTTGCCTGGCACCTGGTAATATGTGCTTATCTTTTTCTCTGATGTTTTATTTTAATCTTTTTTTATTTGACCCTTATTTAGCCAAGAAGGTCTCATTGAGATACAAGATCTCTCTTCCAGGGAGTTCTGGTCAAGACGGCGCCACAATCAGTTACAACAGTAAAAAATAATATCAGTCACTGAATATGTGGTCATCAGGAGGTTTGCTGTGAGTCAAATTATCCAAAAGAAACAGACCCGGTGACTTAAACCAGTATAAACACAGAATAAAGCAGTTTCACAAAAAATAAAAAGTTTTTCCAACGCTACTCGCCACGGTGGTAGAAAAAAGACTGAGCAGCATGGCAATCTCGATTGACAAGGACTGGCTCCCTTTGTCAATACAAATGGCTCATGTAATGAAAACACAATGATTTTTAAACATTTTTTTCAGGTGATTATAAACTGAAGAAAATATACTTTTTGTTTGATTTAATTGAGTTATGTACGGTGAACGCTGGGGCAGAAAATTGCAATATTTATGTTTAATATTAAGTTTATTGATAAAATATTAAAAAGGGGGTAGTACTTGATAAGTATTCACTTCCTCCTACTCCTTTTCAGACATGAAATACTTATTTTGTTTACTGAATATGTCTGCTAGGTGTCTGGATTTTGTTTTCTTACATATATTTTTTTAATTTTTATTTATTTTGTATGTTTTAAATAAAATCTAAAATCTAGAAAATCTCCTCCTTATTATATATTTTAATTCTGCCAGTATATCTCCCTAAATCCATACACACTGAACCTTTAAAGGTCCTGCTCACACACAGTAAATGTGCTTGGCTGATTTGAACAATTCCTTACCTTAATGCTAGACCTCTTAACAGGATTGGTTGGGGCTGTACAAAGTATCCTTCATTGATATCTCATCTGTTGCCTCTGTTCAGGCAGGGCAAATTACACCTTAATAGTAGTACATGGAGTTTGGTGACTGCACAGTTTCTGTTTTTTCTGCCAGAAAAAAAGAAAATAAAGGAAAATGTTATTAAAGATTCTCCAGTTTCTCTGCTTGGTAGTGTGGAGCACACGTACCAATGATAATGGTCAATATGAGGTGTCTGATCGGCCAGTATGTGCAGGACTCATAATATTGTTTTTACTTTGAAAGTCAAACTTTGACTCAAAAAGCATATACTGTAAAAATAAAAAGTGACAATTTATCTTTGTCATTCATAACAAATTCCTGTCTGAAATGAGCTTCCATGTTATTCTGATTCTGACTGTGTATTTATGTTCACTATTATTATTTCAGATCGTTTCTTACCTCATGCAACAGTGTCTTGCACAGCTGTTAGCCGTCGGCACGTGCTTTGTAGAAATCGAGCGCACCTCTCTTACGCGAGGAACAGGAAGTCAGGACACAGAAAATCTCGGAGAGCAGAAAAGTTACAACACTGTTACTGAAAAATGAGCCGAATATATCACAACACGTCTTTACAGAACAAACCAGTACATACTGAGAAATTTGACCGCGTGTGGTCTCCCTCCATGTATGAAAGGTAGGAGCATACGTTTCTGTAGACGGACAGTGACAGGTAACGTTACAGTATCTCCGTATGATAACGTTACATTCTGTTCTTTCTGTGCGGAGACAACACCAAACTCCACTGCACTTTACTTTTCCCGAGGTTTGCACACCTCAACACATCATTGTCTTATAAGAAATTGGTGTTTGTGTATTCGTCATTTTACTGAATCCTCAGTCAGCCGTTAATTTCAAAATAAAAGTAATGTATTGATGCTTATAGCTGCTGCTAGCTAACGCTTTCCATCGTGTGTTTCAGTTGACCAAAGTTAACACCTGGCGAACAGCTAACATTACAGTTTAAAAGTTCAAAATGCAGGCTATTCAAATGAGTTCATTGGACGTCTGTCTAAATGAAAGACTGAGCTTGACGTTAGGGCTGGGCAACAGGGACGTAGCATCAAATTCTGGGCTCTATTCACGAGGGGTCTCTGTGGGCCCCCCACCCTTCCAATCTTGATCCAAGTCTCTTTCACACACCTTAAAACTTTCTGTCTTTCTTTCTTTTCTCTTTTTGAACTGATCTCCTTTTTCTTGGGAAAAGATGGGACAGTGTTTGTTGGTGCTCCAGCAGCATGGAGTTGCTTGTCTGGTGCATTATGTCAAAAACGTTTTGTAGCTTCCAGGTTTACTTCTGCAGTATGTGGCTCACTGACTATGCAGAGTAGTGTTTCTCCCGCTGGCCCTGCCCTCAAATAAATTCCTGTGCAGTGTCCTGTTAACAGTTATACAGACATCTCTTGTTTTGGTGGTCTATGGAGAAAAGGCTCTGGACTGATGTAGAGATGAATCCTAGCACAGGGATGGACCAAACCATCTTGCTTTTTAAGGGCCAGGGAGGGGCCTCAGAGAGCATCAACTTTTTTTTTAATACAAAGTTCAGTCTTCTTAAAGCCACAGTGTGTAGGAATTTCTCCCATCTAATGTTGAAATTATATATTGCATTCAAACGGATTCAGGCTCCTTCACAGATACACGCGACGCGAGTTGACAAACCCCCTCCTCACCATGCTGGCTGTGTTTACAACATAGAACTGTTGGGGCGGGTGTAAATCGAAACAAACCAATCACGTCTTGTCTTTTGACAACTGACAAGTAGCTCAACCTCACACACCTCATCCCTCTCCTCGCATCACTGCACCGCCAACAGCTGTTAGTGTCGCTGGCCACTAACAGCTGTTAGTGGCCATCGATGCTAGCGGCCTGTGATTGCATTACCTTACTCCCTCAGCAGCTCTTTCCACCTGGGAAAGGCTACCCCGATGTTGACCCTCGTATTTTAATTTGCCAGTCACATTGCCTTTTTGATTCCCTTTTGCGCTTTCTTGGCAACAAGGATTCCGTCTCCCGTGATGCTGCATATGTATGATCCTGCATTATGCTCAAAGAGTGGGACTTTGTTATGCTGCAGTAGTGCCGGGGTAGTAGCGAAGCACCTCTTGCTCCTCTCCTTCGGCTTCTCAGTCACACAGCGCTGGCCTGGCTCTCAATGAAAACGCCAAAGGCGGGGCTGTATGTCCCTTGCTGGCGGATGTATTCTCAAGATGGCGAAACGTTATGGAACCCCACAGACAACTTACTTTATGTTTGCTTTTTAAATGCATTTTCTGCACTGTTTTTCTTGCTTTTAGCTTTTGTTTTTAATGATCTATTGTTCCTTTAATGTTTTATCTTAACGTATTTCTCTTGTAAAGCACATTGAATTGCCTTGTGTATGAATGGTGCTATATAAATAAAATTGCCTTGCCTTGCTTTGCCTTGCCTTGCCTTACCTGCACAATGTACAAACAAATCCGAAATTCTCCTTTTATGAGAATAAGTCGCATTATTGGTGCAGGTAATAGTACACCAATGATGACATATTTATGAATGCAGACAACAATTTTTGCCAATAAACAACAGCTTTATTTAACCATTTTTAATATAGTTATGGCATTCATTTCTTTAAAAAAAAGTGCAAAGAATTTTCAAAGTTTTCATTCCAGGCTTTTCAAGGGCCCCCCTCCCATTTTGTGTGCTGTACTGACACCAAATGCTGTACTATGCTGTACTGATTTATTCCCCCACCCATAATATCCACATTACTGATGATAAATTATCAGAGACCTTCTTGTGTAAATATTTTCTACAGTATGGTCGCCATATTGATATTGAGGTATTTGGTTAAAGATATTGTGATATTTGATTTTCTCCATATCACCCAGCCCTACTTATTGTTCAGTTTGCCATGTCTGACCATTTGTTGAGAGGGGTTTGGATGGAAGTGGTAGGTGTCCTGATGCAGCTCTTTATGGGAGAACAGATGTTTGAAGTGGTTAAACACAGCTCATGAGTGGAAGTATAATGATTTTAATTTTTGGTATGTTTCTTCCACACAGTGGCCAGGGAGTTCTTCTGGAAGGAAAGGTGCTTGATGTTTCCAGACATGCTATCATTGATGACAACAATCAAAAGGTACATTAGGCAAATCCAACTGGGTCTTACCGGTTGGGCAAGTGGGTCAGAAATCTACCTGCCCCTGTTCAAGTTATTAGATTCAGTAGAGGTTATCAAATAACAACAAAGACTAAAGTCAAGTGTCATGTTTAATCTAATCTAAGCTATTGTAAAACTTAAATTAGTAGCCAGAGCTATTATTTGCTTAAATTACTGAAGTCAACAGGCCCATATTTAGGACAGGCATCTATATGAGACAGGCCTTTAATTCCTTTCACACAAAACAGTTGCCTAGCAAAGATGGGAAAAACGATTGATTTTTTTTTTTTTTTACAGCACTCGAGCATTACGGCAACCCGGCATACCAACCCAACACCACTTTATCCAGTCAATATAATATTCACAACTTAGATTAAGTTTTTTAAAAAACCCTTTTTTCATTCTTTTGATCAGTGGACCCTTACGGACAAAAGGAATATGAATAACTTACTGGGTAATCAAGGAATGGACAAATATTCTGACTTTATGACAGCTTCATAGGAAGGGAGCCCCCCCTTTTCTTTCATCATCCCAGTAAATCTGAATGAAATAAGATCTTCTCTAGTGCTCATGGTTTCAGTTAAATGAACAGAATGATTGAATTGTGGAGAATTTAAATGAGCTTGAAACATTTATATCACACATAACAATGTGTGATCTGAACAGCTATCTAACATTAGCTCAAGGAGGTAGCCAACAACCAGGTTTTGTACATCCAAAGAACTTCAATAAAAATTGACTGCTTGGCAACCAGACCAGGCAACCAGACCAGGTGTCTGATTGAGACAGTCCAACAGTATTAGTAAACATGAACAAACTCTCTCCCAAACCCCAAAACTAGAGTGATAAAACTCAAATCTGTGATGTCATAGGGTATAAAGTCTGCAGCTGCTCTATAGACAGTGAATGGTGAAAAATGTTATAGATGACACTGAGAGCAGTGAAAATGTACCCATATACTCTGAATGTTCTATATATGAGTACATTTTCTGTTTCAGAAATGAGAATACTACAATTGAATTAAGCTCATTTGGGTGTAAAAGAACATTCTGTGGGTCTATGAAATCAGGCTCCTTAATAACTTAGTAACAGTTATTTGATAAATATTACTAAATAGATAATAAATACATGAAATAAATAAATAATACTATTGTAGAAATAAATAATATTGTACAACAGTGCATATTTTGAGAATACTGAGCTTAGTGTATTTGTAACATTCTAAAACCATCTCTGTGTTGTGTTGCAGCTGTCCCCACAGGTGGGAGCAGTAGCAACACCTTCTTCGATTCAAATAAATATTGTGAATGGTATACTATATGCATCATCTTTAGATTGCATGGGTATTTAGCAGTGTAAGTTTATCATACATGAATTTGGTTGGTGTAGTTCAAATAGCAAGTGTTGCAGCTGCCCCCAGTCTCCTACTCCTACTTTGTCATAATTACTGTAAAAAGTGAAACCGTGTTTATAAGCTGCTTCTGTTTTGTATAATTAATCGATGTAAGCAAAATGTTTTCCCACTTCTTCTCTTTTTCTTTTACTAAACAGTATATACATGTCTTTCATAGGGGTGTAAATCACCACTTTCATCACGATATGATATTATAGAACGATGCGATATTTTCTGATTTACAAAGTCTGCCACAATACGATTTTGATTCGATACGACTCAGGGGTCTGTGATCAATATTAGCCAATATTAAATGCCCATTTAACACAGTCTGTTACAGAAGACACTGCCACCCCTTTCCTTTTTTACTTTTGGCCATAAAACACATAAACAACAAATAATAAATAAGTACAGTAAAGTTCACTTTAAACCGACTCCACTAACACAAATAAAACAGCAAATGGGATAAGTTAACCTTCAGGGCTTTCTGACAGAGAGACCTTTCTGGAAGAAATCTTTTCATTTTAACCCAAATCATCATCTTTTTCATAAAACTTCAAGAATATCTGGCTTAAAGCCCTGAATGGAGACTTCTCCAAACAGTCATAAAACACAGATTAACAACAGAAGTATAACATTCAGCTCAGTAGTAACTGTCAAGGTTCATGGACAAAACAATTGTTTTTTGCTAGTGACTCATTATTAGCTTGAGCTTGTTTACATTGCATAAATTAGCCTAGCGGCTAGCGGGCATTTTTCCTCTTCTCATAGTTTAACAGATTACATGCAGCGTAATTATTTTTCTTACCGTTGCATCTCCCGAAAGAACAGCTCAGTTGAATTTCAGCCTGCATGCACGGTTTTTCAGCCAAACAGAGCAGCTAATGTTGCTAAAGCAAGAAGTTAGCGGAGTGAGACGCTCGTCCAGGCAGGTAATGTTTCGTTGTGTTTTATCTTGTAACATCATTGTTTACATACACCATGTGCTCTGTCTGTTGTCCTGTATTTTCTCAGAAATCCAAAAATATTTCCACTCTGCTGATTTGTTCCTGAGTAAATAATGTAATCCTCATTGTCCCTCTCTTGGCTGCTTGCCATCTGCCTGCTGCTGTTTGACAGTGACACAGGCTTTCAAAATAAAAGTTTATGCTAAAGATGACGATACGGATCGATGTTTTCACTTTGCATTGATGTGATTGGATCGTTGATCATTAAATTGATATATCAATCCGGACCGATGGATCGTTACACCCCTAGTCTTTAGCCATCTGTTGTTGACAGAAACTGAAAGCTTTAGCTGTATTTATGCTGTACAAGAATCAACCTCCTCTTTTGTTGTGTCAGAAAGAACTTTAACTACCTAAATCCTTATTGGTTTTAGCATTTAGGACAGACTAAACACAAACACAAATGGACAAAACATTAACCACAATTTGTTTCTGTCACTGGCAGGTCCGTTTCTACGTGCTGTACATCAAACCCAGCCGCATCCATCAGAGGAAGTTTGACGCCAGGGGGAAGGAGATTGAGCCAAACTTCAGTGACACCAAAAAGGTTAACACTGGCTTCCTCATGTCCTCCTACAGTAAGTAGTTAGCAATAAACATTAGAGCTTATGTTTGCATATTTCCTTTCCTCTCCAAGCCTCTTTCTGTTTTGAGTGTTTTGTCTTCCATTTAGTTGTAGTTTAAGATTGACTTTGATCTGTCTGCCAACTGTGAAATGGCAGAATGGCTGAGTGAGTGATCATAAGGCTTGTGGTCAGGTCACAGTTTCCCATGGCAGTGTGTGTTTGAATCCCACTTCAAAAAGAAGACATTTCTGAACTCCAGCTGCAGCAAGCAAAGGGACTTAAAGGGAAATACTTCCAATTTCTGAACAGCTGTTAAAGAATGAGGATATTACATTTAATGTTATGCAGAAGCCAAACTGGTCATTTAAAAACAAAAACAAAAATTAATAAGAGCACACAAAGATTTTCAAATTGTGATGATGTTGCTTCCTTAATTAGCAGCGTGTTGAGCTTAAGGGCCAACGTTGATGCACATTTTGTGTCTATCCAGAGGTGGAAGCCAAAGGGGAGTCAGATTGTTTGTCCGAGGAGCAGCTGTCAGCGATGGTGAACAAAGCAGAGCTGGTAAAGATAACTGAAAAGCACCAACCCAGCGGGACCTGGGCCTTCTGGTACCCGGAGTCAAAGATGGATGAAATGGAGCTGGAAACAGGACAGGATGTACGGCTGAAGACCAGAGGAAACAGTCCTTTCATATGTGAGTCTGTACTGTCATGCTTTTTTTGTTTTACTGCTTAGCTGCTTCCACATACACTGAAAACAGCACATGTGCATCCAGTATGTCGTTATGCAGTGTTAGGAAGTTTACTTCTGTAATGTAATAGGTTACAGATTACTAGTTATCCTGCTAAATATATTAAGTTGTGTAGCTATTTTTATTACTTTATCAAAGTAATGTAACTTGACATTGACATTTAATTACTTCTCTATGAAATGTCTTAAACTGGGTAGTATAGCTAAAAAGTCTTTAAACATAAGTGCAGAAGTCGAAAAGATGCAAAGCAACAGAATATATTTAGATGTAACCTTTTTGTTATTAGGGCTGTATTCAACCAAAGAAAATCTTGGTGACGGAAATTTTACCTACTCCTCATCCAATAGATTGGTTGGTTGATGGGGTAAAAACAATCTGCCTGTTATCTCTAGGCTAAATAAATCACCACTGTGCACTGAGTGCACTCTACCTGGTCACACTGTGCGTCCACAAAAGCTTGACATTAACGCCTTGTTTCCACTAACATATGTGTACGGAGATTACTCACCAGAAGTCTGTTCATTACTATGGGAATCTCCTTGGTATCCAATGTGCCTGCGAAACTCCTCCTCTCTGTTATATTTCGGTCCGGAATTTGCCTCAAGTTCATTAAAAAAATTTATCTTTTGCAGTGGAATTCAGCGAGACTATGATAGTGTGCTAGCTTACCTTACTGGCTGTGAACTAGCTGACAGGCTGTTTTCTTCAATTCAGTTGCCTATGTTGATTGCCAATGCCAAGTGAGTAATGTTAAAGTAATGTTAATGTCATAATGACAAATTCAGCCATTCATATGTTTTTTTTTTTTAACGTGTTTTTTTTTTTTGCCTTTAATCGGTACTATAAAGTGTGAACAGAGAGAGAGAGAGAGAGAATGACAGCAAAGAGCTGCAGGCCGGAATCGAGTCAATGGCCACCATGGACAGTCCCCTGCACATGGGACACCTGCTCCACCTGCCACACTTCTTTTTAAGGAAATCCATCCATCCATCCATCTTCTAACCGCTTCATCCTCTTGAGGGGGGCTGGAGCCTATCCCAGCTGACATTGGGCGAGAGGCAGGGTACACCCTGGACAGGTCGCCAGACTATCGCAGGGCTGACACATAGAGACAAACAACCATTCATGCTCACATTCACACCTACGGACAATTTAGAGTTGTCAGTTAACCTAGTCCCCCATCTGCATGTCTTTGGACTGTGGGAGGAAGCCGGAGTGCCCGGAGAGAACCCACTCTGACACGGGGAGAACATGCAAAGTCCACACAGAAGGGCTCCCACACCCGGGATCGAATTGGGAACCCTCTTGCTGTGAGGCGACAGTGCTAACCACCATACCACCGTGCCGCCTCTTTTTAAGGAAATATTTCACAAAACATGCTCCGTACCTGACAGGCCAGCATCTTCATTGTTTTTTGTGGCCATGCAACATTGATCCTGTTTTTGTCCCGGTAATGTTCCAAGTGTATATTCCAAACTACTGGATGGCGAAGGCCAGACAAAATAAAAATTAGCCTCTTCCCCATGGCTACAGGTAGTTTCTATCAGGTTTCTATCCATTTGTAAAGAAATGCACTTCCTTGTGTTGGACAGTAGAGGCATCATCTGTATATTTACAGATCTACGAGCACCAGTCACATATGTTAAATGGAAACAAGGCGTAACACTTGCCCAAGGCAAGTACATTCTGTTTTTAGGCAAGTGGATTGCCTTGAGCTAAAAGTAAATGTGATCTCAAGTGCAATATTTTCTGAAAATAAACTGTGCACTGTAACACTGGGATCGTTCAGCTGAGCTGCATTCCTGACTTCATCTCACAACTTAATGCAGATGACTGATGAGAAAAATCTGACATACTGGACACTATAGAGAGGGTAACTCTGGGGTTGACTGTGTCATATACGACATTAAGTTATTAATGTTAAATATCTCTTTAAGGCTGCATGTGGGAGCAAGACTAAACCTATTTTTAGCCTAGAAGCTAATGTTAGCCTTAGCAGCTCCAACACAGGCTCTGGTGTGGTCATATCTCTTTCAGCCTTGCACTGCAGTGTCTTTTTGGAGACTTAGTAAAATAAATCCATAGTGATAAATCCGACACTGAATGTCTTCTGTGATCATTTATCTGTTTTTCGGATTAGAAATGATAGTTGAAAAAAGTTTAACTTTGAGTAAATCTCTGGCTTGTCACTATCACCAACAGTCCAATCACTGAAGAAGGGGTGGGACAAATACCACAAAGACCAACTGTCACAGAGGACAAATACATATAATACGTATAAAAATCAACAGCAACTGCCGTTTCCAGCTGGAAAAGAAACGCTGTGGTGAACGCACAGCCTGATTAAAAGTCACACCAGCAACTGTCCAACCAATGAAAATTTGGTCAGACATAATGGCATAATGACCAGCCAACCAACCAACCAATCAACCAACCAGAAGTGTCGGCCCTATTGTAATCACCAATATTTTGATAAGTAACTGTAATTGAATTATATATTTTTTCTCAGTAACTGTAACAGATTACAATTACATTTATTATGTAATGTAATGTAATTATGTAACTCTGATAGAATAGAATGGAATAGAATAGAATAGAATAAAATAGAAAGAACTTTATTCATCCCCGAATGGAAATTAAGCTGTCCAGCAGCTCATAAAAGACAAAAAAACAACAACCACACTTCCACTCATCACCAACAAACAGAAGTTAAAATAAGTGCATAAATAGAAATTAAATAAAAATACAATTGTCCATTCCACAGTCCAGTCCAGTTGTGGCTAATGTGATGTGTGTAAGTGTGTGTGTGACTGGATTCAGGAGGTGTTAAACCGTCTTATTGCAGTGGGGAGGAAGGGTTCCTGAAATGCTCTGTTCTGCAACGCAGTGAGATGAGCAGACTGCTGCAGCTGCTCCTCTGTCGCTCCAGGAGGCTGTGGAGAGGGTGTCTGCTGTTGAAAACCAGTAACTCGCCAACACTGCCCGTATCTCACATTAAGCCTGAAAATAAATGAATAGTCTACTGCCTGAACTCTGCCTAAACTCAAGGTTAGCCTTAACAACAAATAATGGTCCTAGATGCTATTAAAATACTGGCACATCTTAAGCTCTGACCCACAACTGAAAATTAATTTAAAGACCTCCCCAAAGTGGTGTATAAACGTCCTCCGAGCTTAAGGCAAATGTTAGTCAAATCTGACCTCATCCCGGCTAAGAATGCTACCTGCCTGGAACCACCACCAGGTAACTATCGGTGTGGTGCATGCACACAGTGTAACTTTACACAGAAATGCACCACATATAACCATCTGATAACAGGCAAAACCATGAAGATTAGAGGCACTATATCCTGTTCCACAAAAAATGTCATTTACCTTCTAAAATGCCCATGTGGCTTAGCATATGTGGGTAAAAACCCAAAGAGCACTAAAAACAAGAATAGCAGAACACAGGAGCAATACTAGAACTCAGGACCATTTTAAGGAGGCCAATCATTCAGTGGCCTCTTTGAGATATATCGGCATCCAGCACGTTAAATCTCCTAGAAGAGAAGGGGATCTAAACAACCTTTTACTCCTAAGAGAATCTTTTTATATTTTTTCCCTTCAGACTCTCAGTCCTCGAGGTCTAAACCAGGAGTATGATATCAAACATTTTCTTTAAATATTTTTCTTCTCAAGACTTAAAATAATTTTGTATATTATATATAAAAAATCCTAAGAGGTGTCAGTTTCTTATAAATTATCTTAAAATGGTAACGAAGGTGAGCAATTTATGCTTCAAGTTGGTTGTGATGGCATACTGTATTTAAAAGTATTTAAGAATATTTAAGAATATTGTATTTCTATTTTTAAGAAGTTTTTTCTATGTTGGCCACATGCGCTCTTACACTCTTTTGAATTAATATTTCTATGCATGTCTCTATGTATTTTTCTATGCATTTCTATATACCTTTTTCCATGTATTTTTGCCAAATTGATTAATTGGAGCTGCTCAAAACAACACAAATGTTTTTAATGTTTGGCCACACCTGTCATCACTTTGACAGCTCATTGGTGAGCAAAAAGATATGTATAAATATAGGTGTGTGCATCGTATGAGCACTGTTTGACCTGACGAAGATCAAGAAGGGATCGAAACGTTGTCCTAATAAACCACAGTTGTGACTTGGAGCAGTGTGCAGGTTTTTTTCCTTGTCTGAAGTGGATCTTTGTTAGAGGATAAAAGCAGAACAAGATTTGGTCAGAGCTCTTTAATTTGCTCTCTGACTTAAGAAGATGGGCATGTTTGTTCAAAGCCACAGAGTCCTTCTGGATTTCATGACCCTCACATTGATCAAGCTTGTCCTAGTGTTGACCTCCATGGGAGAGCAGAGTGAATGAAATTAAACTAGAATTTTGTTTTTCCGGTCCGTCACAGTTTGGCAAGTAACCTCAAGGGGAATGAACAGTGTTTGACCTCTCTCATATTCAGGAGACTCATCCAACCCTTTGATATTCAATAGTCAGTTTTGAGTGGAGTGGAGTGATTTGGTCTATTCACAGCCTCTCCTTTTACATATTTTTGGCCAAGATTTATTGATAGGCATTTGGAAGTTTAAGAATCCCAAGGAGAGTAAGAAGAAGTAGTCAAAAAGCAGTCAGGCTAGTTAATTATACAATTTCAATATCCTGTTTGAAAAATAGATCTTTATTATAGAGTTGATCCGCTATTTTTCGTCAGACATAAAGCCTGCTCATCCACCAACCACTTCAGTTTCAACTTATAAAACATGCACATTTTTATATAAAAATAGGGCAAACACACAAAACAACACATACATTATTTACCAGCTGTGACGACGGGGCTGGTGTTGTTTTCCTGTTGTGTTTGTGTGAGTGTGTGTGTGCGTGTATGTGTCCATTTTCCTGGGGCCCAGCTCTCTTTGCTGCTCATCTCCCAGC